AATCAGGTAACCAATGGAAAGAAGTCCCAGCATCTGGAATTTTCAAAATTGATCTCAAAGCTTGTGCAGCAACTAAATCTTTGTCTTTAATGCTGTTTCCATGGAGGTACAACTGCACAGAGAAAACAGTAGAAGAAATATCGATTAATGCCCTGGACCAAGTTTCAAAAGACTTGCCAAACCACATACCTCTCCTGATGAATGAATCAAAACTCTGTCTCAGAGCACCAGTTACTCCCTTAAATAAAACAATTTCTGAAGCTACAGGTGGATGTCCAGGCACTAATATTAGCAACATTAACCATATGGTTTCTGTAGAAACCCTTCAAGGATTTCTTGCAGAGGAACACAAGCAAAAAATTGTCCATCAGTTCATTGATGTTTTAAATGAAGCGGTGAAGAGACGGGTTTTATCTCTCTTTAGAGATGAAGGTCAGCAAAGAAAAGAAGTTCCAAGCATGTCTAGCAGGAAAGCACACATTGCAGTGCTCTTTTCCGGTGGCATTGATTCTATGGTTATTGCAGCTCTCTCTGATAAACATGTGCCTTTAGGGGAACCGATTGATCTTCTCAATGTAGCTTTCATGACAAAAGAACAAGCTAAGCAAAAGGGTACCACTAAAAAACATGCTGACTGGCAAGTACAGCTTGATTTGCTCTGTCCTCAAGAAAGCTGTGAATATCCTGATGATAAAATTGATGCTCGTTTATCTTGCTTTGCTGTTCCTGACAGAATCACTGGTAGGGCAGGACTGAAAGAATTAGAAGCCCTTAACCCTTCAAGAACGTGGAACTTTGTGGAAATTAATGTTACACTAGAGGAATTGAAAAAAATGAGACAGCAATGCATTCATCACCTGATTTATCCACTGGATACAGTCTTGGATGACAGCATTGGCTGTGCAATTTGGTTTGCTTCCAGAGGAGAGGGTTTTATTAGTAACCAAGGAGAACTGAAACCATATAAAAGTCCTGCGAAGGTACTGATTGTCTTCTGCCTTGGGCTTGACCTGTGAGTGTAAATACAGTTCTGTTGTTTCAGAAATCAGCAGAGGTCTTTAATATTCATAAGGCTTGTGAAATTCAGTGGCAGAATAGAGAATAGTTCTGTGCTGATAATCTCCGTGTAATTCTGGAGTTAAAATCTGCATTCATTTCTTTTGTCATGTGATGTGTGTGGCTTTTTGTTAAGCTTGAATAAGCAACAGTGTGACTAGGAAAGAAGAAACAATGATCATCTGCCATCTTCAATGTTTCAGCTTCAGTAGTGGGTAATTGCAACTGAATCCAAACCAAATAGGTTAACAAATTTAGAGATTAACATTAGTGACGTGTTAAGTAATTAAGTCTCCCATCAGTTACTTACTAGTGTGCATAGGTGAAAAAATAGTAAAATTAATAATAATCTGGGTGTCCATTCATATGACTACTTAGAACCTGTGACATGCTCTGTAATCTGCAGCAACAGTGTTTTTTATAAAGGCTGGTGCTTAACAAATGCTGTTCATTGTAATAGAAACTACCAAAGACATTCTTCAAGGATACTGGTATATTTGTGATGCACATACATTATTTTGGTGGGCTTTTTTCTTGCCTCAGTAGAAATGTTTATGTACTTTTAGGTGTGATTGTTAACATACTTCAAGCTTCCAGTGACTTTATTGGAAACTGGTTTAGGCTCTGTAAATGTGGAAGGCACATCCCATCATCACAGTTACTGTATTTAGAAGATGTGTATTAAAGTTACTCTCCTTAAGATGTAGTTAAACGTAAGATCTGTCACATACTATTAGCTTGCATAGGTACTAAAAAAGATTTGTTTTATTCTGTTTCTTAGGTTGTGCTTACAGGAATGGGAGCAGATGAACAGCTTGCAGGGTATTCTCGACATAGTCTTTGCTTCAGAAAATGTGGATTAGAGGGTCTGAATAAAGAACTTGAAACGGACTTGGATCGCATTTCTTCTAGAAATCTTGGTAGAGATGACAGGATTATTAGTGACCACGGAAAAGAAGCCAGGTATTGCTGTTTTAACATGAAGCAAAACTGGGTTTGCTGGTTAGATTCTGCTCTTAACACTCCCAACAGAAAGCTTAATTGAAACTTCTGTGCATTTTAATTCTCTGTAAATTCCCTTGCAGTTTTGTTGGTGTACTGTGTTGTGGGTTTTTTGTTGGTTTGGTTTTTTTAAAAAATGGTCTGTAGTGCTGTGGGACAGTTACTTAAGGAAGTTTAGCAACTCAGACATTAGATTTCCATCTGGAAGTTTTCCAGCAGCGGCAACACATGCTGAAAAGGTCAAAATCAAGTTGGTTTTGTAATTTTAAGTGGAACAGTCTTCTGCACAACTTAGAAGTGATTTAGTGTGGTCATCTGGGAGATGACTTTGGAGAATGACACCATAATGTAGAAGCCACGTATTCCCATCCATGCAATAAAGGCATGATCAGTATCCACTGCATGCCATGGTTGTTAAGTCACAATACTTAAAGAATAACTTTACTTGTGTTTACTTCCTCCATGCTACCACCAATTTGCAAAAGATTCCTTGGGTGTGCTTCAGTAGCAGAGGCCACTCAGGGGCATGAAAGCTCTTTTCATGGGATCTTTGTGCCAGTTTTTTTCCAAATCTTTTCTGAGTTGCACATTTCTGGTTTACCAGTTGCAGTGGTGGACAGGCAGTGCTGTTAATACTGCTAGTTATTAAATGTGAATGTCTGCAATTCAGAATGTTGTCCGAATTTGTTTTGTAAATGTTTTTGTTTCAAGGTTAGTTACAGTATTTTGAAATACTGAGGATTAGTATGTTACTTTAAAATCTGTCCTGCTCTTCCATTGCCTTTTCACATTTTCTTCATATATTTTGTTTTGTGTAAATCCAACATTTCTGATGCTTGTTCTTATTCTTACCTTTGCTTGAGTTTTGAAAGCTGCCAGACTTCTGAGTTTAAACATATATTAAGTTTATTTTTTATATATTATGTTTTTTTTTCTCCAAGACAATGTAACTGTTTTGGAAACTTGCCCCTGAGTACTATGACACTAACATTTAAGGTGCATCTATAGTTAAGAATGAACATAGACTCTGAAGTCTTTGAATATGGTAAAGGGGAAAACCAAGACTGTTTGTATGAAGTTTTTAAAGGGTCTTTCCCCATGTGTATCTTTCCCTTTAGGTTTCCTTTTCTTGATGAAGATGTTGTTTCGTTCCTCAGTTCTCTGCCCATTTCAGAGAAAGCTGACCTGACTTTACCTCGAGGAATTGGTGAGAAATTGATTCTGCGCCTTGCAGCCAAAGAGCTTGGCCTTACAGCCTCGACCGTTTTGCCAAAAAGGGCTATACAGTTTGGATCTCGGATTGCAAAACTAGAGAGCAACAGTGAAAAAGCATCTGACACATGCAGCAGACTGAAGTTATCTTCAGATAACTTCATAACTTCAGATGAATTATAAAGCTACATCTTGAGGTGGTGCATTTATGCTGTATGCAAAGTTTGGAGTTTTCTTAGAATGTCTGGTCTATTTTTTACACACTTGAACATTATTATTCACCATCAGAGTAATACATGCAGATGGGTACTTGCACTGGAGACTCACTGTGAATGCATCCTTGGGGAGAAAGGGAATACTGGGTTCTGGGGAAGAGAGGACAGGCAGATGTTGGCTTTCCCACCCTTCCTAACCAGTGTCAGTCACAGAATCACAGAGTATGAGGAGTTGGAAGGGACCTTGAAAGCTCATCCAGCAGAGCCTGGCTCCTTCCTCCTGACACTGCCCTTTACAAATTTATAAACATTAATAAGGTCACCCCTCAGTCTCCTCTGCTCCAAGCTCAAGAGCCCCAGCTCCCTCAGCTGCTCCTCAGCAGGAGATGCTCCACTCCCTCCATCATCTTTGTGGCTCTGCTGGACTCTTTCAAGCAGTTCCTGTCCTTCTTGATCTGAGGGGCCCAGAACTGGACACAGTATTCTAGATGCGGTTTCCCAGGGCAGAGTAGAGGGGAAGGAGAACCTCTCTGCCCTACAGCCACCCCTTCTGATACACCCCAGGATGCCACTGAGTCCTTAAGTGCATTCCTTCTTGAGCCTCCTTGTAACAGCCCCAGTACTGAGCCCTGGGGAACACCACTTGTGACTGGCCACCAGCTGCATTTAACTCCATGCTTGTTGCAGAAAAAGAAAGTCCAGAATTTTCTTAACATTTATTTGGTATCAATTTCAAAATGTGTATGGTAAAGATACCTTAAAACTAGGGCAGTGTCAGAATTGATTTGCTACATTTTAGCCTGTAGATTTTGTTGTTAAAGGTGAACCACACTCAGGAAGGCCAATCCAAGTTGGTAAAGACAAAATAAAGGCATTGACCAAATCAAATGAGCATTCAACATGAGGTATTTCTGATAACCTTAACATATCTAAATAGAGGTGTTGAAAACCACTTAAAACAACTTGGATAAAACATTAGGAAGCTCAATATTTGGGTACCACACGAGCTCAAAGAAATTAATCTCACCAAGCGTCTTGACATCTGCGATTGTATCCTGAAACATGAAGAAACGATCCATTTTTGAACCATATTTTAACAGGTGATGACAAATGGGTTGTCTACAACAATGATGAATGAAAAAGATCGTGCAGCAAGCATGATGAACCAGCTCAAAGCACTTCAAGAGCAGATCTTCACTGAAGGAAGGTGATGCTGTCAGTCTGGGGGGATTTCAAAGGCATTGTGGATTTTGCATTGCTTCCAAGGAACCAAACCATTAATTCAGACATGTCCTGCCATCAACAAAATAAATCAAATGATGCCATCAAACAGAAGCATCCAGAATTGGTGAATCGCAAAGGTGCTGTGTTTCATCATGATAACGTTAGACCACAGACCAGTTTGGTCAGTCGTCAAACCTTGTTGCAGCTTGGCTGGGATGTGTTACCACATCCCCCATGTTCACCAGACCTGGCACCGTCAGACTGCTGCTTGTTACTTCTTGGCCCACCCAATAGTTGCATTTACTTCAGGAAGTTACTTTTTAAGATGCCAACCACTCTATCTTCATTAGTTTTGGCACCTTGATGGAATTTTCTTCAACCCTTTTTGAAATGTTAATTCCAAGTGGAGCTCTACAAAATAATAAAATTATGTATTTGTTAAAAACAACATTATTACTGTCTCACACTCACATGCAGATTCACAGACCTTTTTTTACAACGGGCATAGGAGTCTCAGTATTTTTGCAGGTTCCCTGCTCTGTTAGACTGTCACAATTAAAATGATCTATCTGAAGCTATAGCTAGGAACATCTTTACACTGAGGAAATGTCAGCACTTGTAGCTTTTCCAAACTCAGGGAACACAGTTGTGAATTCAAAGTCATCTTTTGGGCATGTTGTTTTATTCAGATTCTGATTTTAGCTGGTAATTCATTTTACAGCTCACTGATAAATGCAAGGCACACTAGAGATTCACAGGTATCTCTGTGATAATCTTAAAGAATGTAGAGTTTACAGAAAATAAAACTTAGTATTTTATTCACTGAAATGTGTAAAGCAAGTTATTTTTGAAGAAAAGTATTTTATCATTTTTCATGTGAAAATTATAAACCAATTTTTTTTGTCCTCAGAGCTTCCAAATCTGTTTTTCTGGAAATGGAAAGGGGGAAAACCTGAAAAAAAATTCAAGTTGAAGACCAGCGAGTACTTTTGAAATAGCAGAATTTTGGTTGGCCTTAGGCCTACAATCTGCTTAAATCCATAGAACAAGTCTTACCTACCAAGTCATGAAGAAATCAGTACTATTTAAATATCATTTAAAACATCAGTATTATCAGATGTTGTATGTTAATTCTTTTTAAAAATCGGTTGCTCATTATGAATACACAGTTCGACTTGGAGCATTTTGATTTTTGTCTATAGACGGAAACCACAAGGAGAATATTACAGCTTAACTTGCTCTAGTTTTCCCATACCACAGTGGTAATAGGAAAAGACATAAAACTTGGGTATGGTAGTTTAAGATTCTGAGCCAAAACAAACTTAAATGCCAGAAACAATCATTTGTATTGTACAACTACATTGAAAAGGAAGCGCTTGTAACTTTTAAAGCTTATATACACAGCAAAGACCTTCCTCATCAGCTTCTGCTACTCTCTTTAGTCTGTACCTCCTCCACTTGCACTGACCAGAGTAAGTGAAGAAACGGACCGTGAATGAATCGAGTCACTTACTTTGGTTCATAGCGGATGCCTTCAGTACTGTGTAAAACACCAAGTCCTGCACGTAACCTTTCAACGCCATTCCTAAGCAAGAAAGCAATTATGTAAAAGTGTGTGTGTATCTGAATACACCTATGTGGTTCAGTCACTATGAACAGACGTTCTTGACTCTAACGTCAACTTTGAAGAAACATTCTAGAGACGCATGCAAAGAGACGCAACTCTTACCATGCGATCATGACACCATTGTCAGTGCACAGTCTTGGAGGAGGACACAGAAAAGCAAAATCATTTTCATCTGCCAAAGTCTGCAGACCTTTTCGGATATACTGATTACTTGCAACTCCTCCTGCTACAACCTGACAGCAGTTTCCAAAGGAAAAAAGGCATTAACTCACGAGAACTGATGGGTCACAACCAACCAACATCCTAGTTACAAAAAGGCTATCAGATGAAGTTCTGAGACAGCAATAACGTTTGAAGATTAAAACCTATCTTCAATGATGAAAACATATCAGAAAAGAGTGTGAGCTAGCTTATTGTGCTAAAAGAGACCCCCAAATACAAGTACATTTAACTAGAACAGCTGTCAGGTGTTGGGGAGCACTACGTCAATTACGTGGCCTGAACTGTAACGAAAGGTGAGATCAGATGGCAAGAAAAATCCTTCCGGCTTAAAACCAAGCTATAAAAGACTTTATTGTAAATATTTATTTGACTATTACTTCAATCCTGGTATTTTAATAATGTAACACATACTGCTATTTTTCTCACCTGTCAAGGGAGAAAGTACAAGGCACCTGCATCTTCAAATGACATTCAACAGTCAAATACAACAAGGAAAAAATAATGTATACCCACCAATGTTGCGGTTTTTGATGATAATATGTTATTTTTTATGCAGAACAGCATGGCTCGGTATGTCCTCTGGATAATATGAGCAGCCACTGCGTGCTGTACGGCGGCAGCTATATCCTTAGCGCAGGACAGGATCTCGCCTTCTTGAATACCTATAAAAATGTATGAGCAAAGAGGTTTTCCTGAGTGTAGGTCATCAAAACCATGGTTTATATCTGACTCCGTCTGAAAATACCTTCTTCTTTTTCTTTTTGTATAATGGCTTTATTGACCAGGTTCTGAAGGCCAGAAAAAGAAAAATCACAGTTGCGATGCTGCTGCATGGGAAGGCTGAACGTGTGGTGGTGCCGGTTTCCAGTCCGGGCCAAGTGCTCTATCGCCTGCCCTCCAGCCATGCTGTGGCACTCTGGGTGCTTTCTTAAAGAGAGTCTTCTTGCTACCTAGGAAGATGATAAACAGCAGACTCGGAACAGAGAGCTAAATGAACTCCTCCTGTAACTGCACTGCTGTGTTGTAGGCCACGGAGTAAAATGAACACCACAAAATCCAATCCAGGATGGAGTTAGGAACAGGGCACAGTAAGGACAAGACACACACTGGCTGGATATTCTTTTTTCTGAAGTAATTAGAAATGCAATTCTACAACAGTTTGGGCAAACACGAGGATCAATTAATTTTGCAGGAAACATTAATTACCAGATGTTGATGCTACAGGAAACACACACAGACTGTCATACTGCATTCCTAGAGAAACAGGAATAAAGATGGTTTCCCCTTTCAACAACCCCCTGGCTCCCCTCGCTCTCCCATTTTTCATTAACATACACAAATACTGTTTAAAAACAGTGCTCGTGTTTGAAAACAAAACTGCAATGACCAACTTACAGATTGTACTCAGTGTCCCAGAAAGCTCAGATGATTCTGAAAGCCAAACCAGGCTTTTTAAACTTAAAAAACCCCAACTGGTAAGAAATGTTTTAGTATGCATTGTTTTAAACGTGACCGAATCCTTTAAAATATCTCTATCAATCTTCTCTAACTTACATAGCTCGTTTATATAGTGGGCGTCAGCGAAACGTCCAACATCAGTTTTGGTTATGTTGTCTATGCGCTAAAAACAGAATTAATTTACATATGGTACAACTGATACCATGCACAGAGTTTTAACAGCCTCTGGCATCTTAGATCTGTGGTATTTCAAAACAGACCGAAAAGAAAGTTAAGTAAAGCTCGTATTGCACTGCATTACTGTCCTCAGGCTGATGATGATACCATTACATGGTATAATTGCAATAAAAAGCAGCAGCAGCTAGATTCACGCATGCAAGGCAATATTACCTTATCCAGCATGTCACCCGGTGCTATATCTATGGACTGTCCAAGCGTAAGGAAATCTGAAATTCCTTGTGCTACTGCCAAGATGCAGTGGCCTCCGGAGAGTAAAAGAACCAAGAAGGGAAACTCCACGCGGTGCGTCAGCCTGACGGTCAGCGCGTGAGCCTCCATGTGGTGGACGGGGATGAACGGCTTCTGGTGCCTGCTCACCAAGCTCAAGCTGTGTCGCAGGCCCACTTCCAGGCTTAGTGCCAGCCCTGGTTTTACTGTCGTTGCAATAGCTGCAAGTTCATGTACAGAAACCCCACTGATACTGAGCGTCTCTTTCACTACTTGCTCGATGTTTTCTCTGTGAAGCTGCTGTGCCACCACAGGAATTATTCCACCTGCTCTAGTAAAAACAAAGAAGTACAGCGTGTTTATATTTCATAACAGGCAGGATGGCACGAAAAGAGATTTCGACACCTCTGAAACTTGCTGTATCCTTCCTGTTTCCTTAGTACGTTCTCAAATACCTTGTTTAGTGTAAAGGGCAGCTGTGCACTGAAGGGAGCATAATAATCACTGGGAGGTCAGAAAAGGGTATAACTTGCCCTTTTTTGGTACACAAACCTCTTAAACATCTCTCAGCGCTGTTCCAAAACAATACCTGTAACTTAATATTCACAAGTCTCGCTTGTCAGTTCATGTACTTCACCACCAATGCCCATGTTTGATTTTCTCTTAAAAGAGAGACATTTGATGATTTTAACAGTAATAATGATTTCATCTTTAATTCAAAGTAGGTAAGTAATCTGTCTCTTTTTGAAAGACAGTACTGGAGGAAACCTGTTAACACGCAGCATTTCTCTCCTCACCCTCAGTAACGTCTCAAGCAGGTGGTGATGCAGCCTCTACACATACCCAGTTTTTACTGAGTTTTCCAGAGGCAATGACTTTTATACAGATGATATTACAAGTAAAAATAACACTGTTAGTGAGGCAAAAGCCCCAAGAAAAGTGTATTCTTACTGTAGATGGACTTCCTTCTGACAGTGCAGCACTTCTCCCAGAACATTGCCAGCATCGTCCACCACAGCAGCGCCGGTGTCGTCACAGCTTGTCTCTATTCCCAGAACGAGTTTCCGAAGATGCCGTCTTCCAGAGTGAGTGGAGCTGCTTCTCAGCCACGCAGCGCAGCCGTGTTTAACCAATTTCAAAAGGCTTTTGGCAGTGCTGTTCATTGTTTAAAATCTACCCGACAGTTACGTCTAGAAAAGAATCATACAGTTAATTATTACTGGAGGGTTTTCAAACATGGGCTCTGGCCTGATCTTCTGAATACGTGGTATTAATTTTAAGGTTATGAATGACCAGACAAGATATTTAAGACGCTAAGAAAAAAATAATTTAAGAGTTGGGAGCCAATGTCTTTGTTTTACCTTAATCACACTTCAAGAGAGCTCTTCACCCATGCCTGTTGCGTACGGCCCTTCTTGCAGTCCTAAGGGAAGGACACAAACCAGGTAAAGCTGCGGCCTGCAGCAGAACTGCAG